GGACATAGTTAGTAGAGCCATTTGAAGTATTGCATCCTGTCAAAGTGGATCGTTGAGAAAACGTGTTGCATCTATCAAATAGAGTCTACCAAAATCGAGATATGAGGTTACTGTTCAAAGAATGAGTAAGTTTAACTATTCAAGTTTATTTTTATTTAATTACTTTTATAAATATTTATTTCTAACTACTATGATTGGCATTTTGCATCACATGTGAGATTCTATTTCTTTTGGTGTCTAGTTTTATGATGCACTATTTTGTTTCTATAATAATCTTTTTTTGGGTTAAATGTTAACCATTTTTAGTAAAACCATCTAGACAGATATTAGAATTCTTATTAGAAAATAAATGTAATGAGAACTTATGTAATATCTTAATAATGATATAATATTGTTTATGTATGTATTTGTTATTTTATTTCTTCTTAAAAAATGAGAACAAAATAAATTTTCTGTTTTACCCCTCCCTCGATGAAGAGTGGACACCTTGCTCTTACATCAATCAAAAAAATATACACACATATATATTCTTTTCTCTTCTCTTCTCATGATGAAGCTAGAAATATCCTACAATTTTCTTACATATTAATATTATAATTTGATGTGAGATACTTTTAGTTATATCATTGATTTCTTTTTTAGGAAGCTAATGTATCGCAAAAGTCATGTTATACATACTCTTTTTTTTTTGGAAGACAAAAGACATGATATTGGAAACATAAGAAATAAAATACGGATAATGCTCATTACAATTTTTTTCAATATCTGTATTTTCAATTGACATCTACATTTTTATTTAATTATGTAGTTTTAGCAAAATAGTTCAGTATATTTTCTAAAACATCGTGGAGTGGACCTAACCCACTCTCCCAAACAATCCTAACGTCAAAGGCAAGGCAAATTGATTGTCTTTGACAAAATTTGCCTATCTAAAAATGGTCGGGTCGGGCCATTTAATTAATGCCCGAATACCCACCGACAACCTTAGTGGTCCATCCTATTTACACCGTACATTTTATTTTCTTTTTTTTCCCAATAAATTTAATATTTTTAATAGTTGTACTATAGTGATTCAATTGAAAATAAATAAATTATATGATAGTTTATCGGTGAAATTTGAGAAACACAGAGATAATGTAAAAAAATCTCATCTGTTAGGATTTATCTTCTRAATTGATACGTTTTTCATTTCCCAGAATCCGGATTTAAATTATTTTTTAAAATGCCCAATAGTAAATAAATTTTGAGAAAATGTTAGAATTTGATGAAAAATGAAATCTATCTTTTCAGATTCTGATTATATTTTTATTTTGACCATAAGTTGTCATGAGAAAATAACTAAGATTACTTTGAAAAATGGGGTTTTGGAGTAAAATGATTTTCTTAAAGAATGCTCAGTGTTAAATGATTTATATTTATATTTTTTAAAGCCAAAAGCCTAAGAAAAACTTGACTCTTATTGATTAGGTGTATTTTTGTTGGTCGGTTAAGTACTGTATTTAATAGTTAAGTTGATATGTTAATACCAACATAGTAATTTTACTGTAAAGTATCTTGTTTTTTAAAAATATATATTACAAAAAGTGATAGGAGCTGTAGTTGAAAAAATTTCAGATTAAAAAAAAAAAGTTTTAATGTCTTAAGTTCATTAAAAAAATGGAAAAAAAATCCTCTCTTGTGATTCTGAGCAGTAGTTGACAAATGGATTTAGAACCAACTTCTGTTGATAGAGAAAGGTTTTGATATTCATATTTTTAATCTAAGGGATTTCCCTTTGCCCTTTTTGTAAAACGGAGCCGAAAAATAAAAGCATTACTATTTGTAAGCATCCAACCAATAAAGAAAATCTCTCTTTCAGAGCCCATATTGCTGGAGAAGAAGACGAAACAGCGAAAGCAGAGACCAAAAGCTTAAAAAATGGCAAAACCCAGTCTCCTCTACCTTATTCTCATCCTCTTGGCTGTTGTTTTCCAGCACACCCATTTCTCATTCTGCGATGCGATTCTTGATCTCAGATCTTTGAAGGGCAGCAAAATCGATGTAATGGCAAAAGGGGTTTGCAACCAGAAGATCGGGGAGTGCCTGACTGAGCCAGAAATGGAGTCGGAAACCAGTAGAAGGGTCCTGATGATGCAGAAGAAGTATATAAGCTACGATACTCTTAAGAGGGACATGGTCCCTTGCACAAGGCCAGGGGTTTCATATTATGAATGCCATTCTGGGCCTGCAAATTCCTACGACAGAGGCTGTGAGGTCATTACTAGATGCGCTAGAGATGTGCACGACATTAACACTTGAACATGCCTGTGTTGCATGCCCTGGTAAGCTGAGAAATAGTGTTGGTTTTACTTTTATAATGGTGCATTTGCTGTGTTCAATGTGATGACTTTATTTGATTTCTGGGGAGATCCGGGGGTTTTTTTTTGGTTACTTTGGAAAAATACTAGAGATTTGGTTGTGCTCTCTGGTTTTGAGGATTTTGTCAAGAGGGGTCTCTGATATTGTCAAGCAATGCTGAATTTGAATAATAGAATAGAGGGTCTCTCTTCGTAACTATACTATTTGAAACTTAGGTCTATGTGCTAAGTTTTGTTCCTATTTGAAAAAAAGAAGAAAGAAATGAAGAAACTTTAATTCTCAGCTCCTTAAGTTAAAGTAATTACTTAGTTATGGAGACTAAAGTAACTTGATTTGAAGTCATGTTGAAGGGTTGGGGTTGAGAAATGAAATCAGTGATTTTGAGTATTAGATGCTTTTATAATGTTGACACTTTTCCAGGTGTAAACAAACCTGAATTTATTCCTAATAGAGTTTCAAATTTGCATAACCGGAAGATGGAAGTATTTTTTGATCTTGACTCTAGGAGAAATCAACAAGTGCTTCCCCAGGCACTTGTCTAATTAGAGTCTTTTTCTGCACAGTTAGATTTAAGACTCCTTTTTTGGGGCTAGTTTCTGTATGCCCTTATATTTTCTTTCATATTTCTTAATAAAAGTTTGGTTTCTCGTTCGAATTCCAAAAAAGAGTATATATCATTCGTAGGGCATGGGAATTCATTGTTTAAGTAGGATCTCAAAATATGACAGGAGATGTTGGATATGGGACTGAATGAAGAGACCAATTGGCTAGTATAGTATAGCAATTAATACAAGTGTTGGAGGTCTCTGTCCTCAAGGATAGATTGGGTGGCTTGRGGCTTCAAGGAATATCCTTGAGGTCGYGGGTTCAAGTTAGAAGAATTTACACGATTTTTGGTGTACCATGACCCATGATTCTATGAACTCAAGTGTATTTTCTTTTCATATCACTGTTTATGATTAGGGTCATCATACTGATTGATGCCATAAATATGGTTATTTTCTCAATCAGAATTATTTTTCTCCTTTGTKCATTTTACTGTTACAATGTGATGTGATATGGTGCTGCCAAGTGCAGTTCAGACCGCGTTTCAGGTTAAAATCAGTCAAGTTCGTTGTTCTTACGACTACTTGGAAAGAATACAAATGAAGTACCTGTATTATATTCTAAATCTAATGGTTTTYTAAAGTTCTTTTGGAACTCTCCCAAAAACCTTTCATTAAGTAGCCAAACATCATACAAAATTTAAAAGGTTTTTTAAATAACACTATTTAGCAGAAAAATTCATTTGGTTATTCAATGATCAACTCTTGATGATCATTACTGATTTTAAGAATGTAATTTTACAGACAGTTGCTGGCACTGCAGCCGTCCGCATAAGCAGGCATCAACCAAGAAGGTTTGATTTATGTGCTTTTGTAAAAAAGTAGTGTTGAGAATTATGATTTACTTGAACAATTGATGTAATAAACACATTTTCCAATGGAATTGCTTTTGAACACCACACATTTCAGCGTTCTGAGTTAGATAAACTGGACTGGCTATTATTTGTTTGAAGCTCCAGTTCTATATATCATGGCCCATTGCTTAGTTCTCTTATCTGTATTTTGGCAAGTCTGGTAGTACTAGGATGCTGAAGAATCTTTGATTCTGTTACTTTGACACCTGAGATATTGCTTTTATGTTAATCAGAATATTATATTTCTATCAACATTTCTATGAAATCTATATGTTATAATAGACTCAAATTATTAGATATTTGAATATTTGTGAGAATCATTTGGTCCATGAGTTAGTTTTGTGCTACTTGGGGTTGAGAAGGTGATCCATATTATATTTAGTATTGGGTTTGTATTTTTGTACTACATGCTAACATTTAAAAACAATAAATTTTTATGCACACTAAAAATAAGTTATACAAACAAATTACATTAATCTAAACTTCAGTTTTTCAAGCCAAACTCTTCCGAAAGACTTATCATTAAAGTTTTGCTGTTGGCAAAAATCAAGAAATTGATTGTATATACAATTTAAACCAAATTAATTTCAGGTAGTAAATTTGTTCACACAAACAATCCTTACTAAATAATGAATCCCCAACTATAGTTGATCGAATTGTTTCAAGTTATTTGGATCACTTTTACAAAATATTGTAACATCATAACATATCTTATTTACTCTATGTGATTTAATGTTCATTTATATAATAAAAAATTACACTTAAAAATTTTAAAAGTTATTTTTAAAAATGATTGAGAATAATAAYCTATAAAGAATTATTGAATGAAATAAAATTAAAGTAAAAGTAATGATTTTAAAATTAGTAATAAGTTAGTTTAACCCAATTAACATGTTTGAGTTGGGTTAATCAGGTTTTATAACTCCCGTATGGCATTATTACTTGCTATTGTTTTGCATGAACATCCAACATCCAACAACGCATAAAAGGAATTGTTTGTTTAGCTATTACCATTTCTTTGCTTTTATGAATATGCAGCCTAACAAACTGCAAGGAAATACAACAGTATCCCAACTCATCCCAGTCCAACCTTATTCAATCCATTTGATCTTTATGACAAAAGAATTTAATCTTTGTCCCAACCAAACTTCTCCAAGAAAACCCGAATTCAAAATCGAAACCACCTATAACTCTATATATCAAATTCTAATAGTCAATTCAAACAAAAACAACAAACCTCTCAGACCGTCCTCCCGATCCCGATCCCATCTCGCTCTTCTGTCCATTCAGTACCTGTAGTGAGCAGGCTTGTAAGGACCTTCAATGGGGACGCTAATGTAGTCGGCCTGGTCCTTGCTGAGCTTAGTGAGCTTGGCTCCAAGCTTGCCAAGGTGAAGAGATGCAACTTTCTCATCAAGATGCTTTGGCAAAACATATACTTTCTTCTCATACTTTCCAGTGTTCCTCTCATTCCACAGCTCAAGCTGTGCAATCACTTGGTTTGTGAATGAGCAGGACATCACAAAGCTCGGGTGGCCAGTCGCACAACCCAAGTTCATCAGCCGCCCCTCCGCCAGCACAATGATGCCTGTTTTTGTATCCGGGAAGACCCACCTATCGGTTTGAGGCTTGATCGTAATGCGCTTCACTCCAGGGTAAGTCTCGAGCCCGAGCATGTCGATCTCGTTGTCGAAGTGACCGATGTTGGAGACAATTGCATTGTTYTTCATCTTCCTCATGTCGCTCACCATGATGATGTCCTTGTTGCCTGTGGTGGTGACGAAGATGTCTGCCTCGGAGACGATATCGTCGAGGGTCAAGACCTGGAAGCCTTCCATCAAAGCCTGCAGGGCGCAAATCGGGTCGATCTCCGTGACGATTACACGAGCTCCACCTTGCTTGAGGGCAAAAGCACAGCCCTTTCCAACATCTCCGTAGCCACACACAACAGCAACCTTTCCAGCAATCATGACATCCGTAGCTCTCATCAAACCATCTGGGAGGGAGTGGCGGCATCCGTACAAGTTATCAAACTGTTTCATCAAATATTCAACAATCAGTAGATTCAGTCCACAAGATCTTAAAAACAACCAGATTCAAAGAAMAAATGGGAAAACCCAGAAAGTTTTCTAGCAAATCTGTGCTAAAACTAATATTTTTAATGAAAACACAATTTTTGTTTTTCTTCTAAAAAAATATAATATCGTTTCAAAGATCGTTTCCGGCCATACTCTTCCATATAGCAGCAGCCAAATCTCAAACAACATAGTCATAAAGAATAAACAGAATTGAATTAAGAACCATTTTCATTAAGTTATCAGCACAGTTTATCTACATTTCTCTCTGACAAAAGTTYAACGATGGTTAGATCAATAGATTACTGTTATTTAAAGGACAGAAAACAAGAAAATAAAATAGTGATAGGGCAATGTATTTGATTCAATTAGGCTGAGAATGATTAGAGTTATACCTTGCTCTTAGTGACAGAGTCATTGACATTAATGGCGGGGAAGAGCAAGGTTCCATTAAGCTGCATCTGGTACAACCTCTTCACACCAGTGGTCGTCTCCTCCGAGACACCGACCAATCTCTCCTTCATCTTGTGGTACCTCTTAGGATCAGTCTTCAATCCATCTCTGATAATGGTGTAAACAATCTGAAGCTCCGGATTGGTAGTCGAAGAAGGATCCGGTAGCGTCCCTGACTTCTCATGGATCTCCTCCGCCTTAACTCCCTCATGGATCAACAGCGTAGCATCGCCACCATCGTCGACGATCAGATCCGGACCGCCCTGCGGTCCCCAATCCAACGACCGCTCCGTGCACCACCAGTACTCCTGCAGAGTCTCCCCCTTCCAGGCGAACACGGCGGCGCTATCCCGAGCAATGGCGGCGGCGGCGTGGTCCTGAGTGGAGAAAATGTTGCAGGAGCACCAACGGACCTCGGCGCCGAGAGCGGTTAGGGTTTCGATGAGGACGGCGGTTTGGATGGTCATGTGGAGAGATCCGGTGATTCTGGCTCCCTTGAAAGGCTGCGATGGCCCGTATTCGGTTCTGCACGCCATTAATCCCGGCATTTCAACCTCCGCGAGGTCGATTTCAAGGCGCCCGAAATCGGCTTGCGCCATGTCCTTCACCTTGTACTCACGTCCACTGCTGGTTTTCTCCACCAATAGCGACATTTTTGCTGATCCAAATTGTAGAACAAAAACCAAATTTCGAACTCTGTTTTTTTCTCTGTTTCGAATTTGAATGTGGCGAGGAAGATGAGAGTGAGGGAGGGCGTATATATAGCCTCCTCAGGGAGTGTGATGGACGGCTGGGATTTAAAGATGACGTGTTCGTCATCTGTAGATCTGGTAAAAGCGGAAGGCGTGGTAGACGGAAGGTAATGCGGGGCCCATGTGGACTGGGAGATTGACACGTGCTGGTTTCTTATTCGCTGATAGCACTGAGAGTCCGTGAGATTGGTTGTAGGGAGTCCACTTCTTAACGTCCGGCGCGGGAAAATCTGATTCATCGCCTTCCGTTGGTCGTTTGTTCCGTTAGGAGTTTAATTTCCTCTCATTTTTTTTCCTTCTTTTTCCCACACTTTTTCATTTTGAAAGGCAAAATTACAAAAAATCTGAATTTTCCCCTGTTTAAAAAATACTCCTATTTTTCTTTAAAAAAAATTTAATACTAACATTGCTTAAGGTTTCAAAAGCATATTTTGAGAAAATATCCATTAATATTTTCAACGACATCACAATTAGTGTGAACCTTACTCAAATTAAGTCTAACAAAAAAAAAAAGAAGAAGAAAATGCAGAAGAAGCTATAATTTTTAAAAGGAGAATCACAAGTTATCATTTTTAAAAGGAAAATAAGGAAAATCAGAGCTAAATTTGATAGACTAACCTCTCTTAACAATGGAGAAATAAGACATTTAAAATAAAATTGATATGTCAATTGTACAARATATTGAAAAACATTTACTTAAATGATATTTTTGAACAATTATAAAAAAGGTTATTCAAACTTAAAAAAAGATGGGAATATTTTTGAAACATGGATTTTTTTATAATTTTTTTATWAACTTTTTCTTCTTCCTTTTATCTTTGTTTTCATTTTTTTACATCCCTTGATCTTCTTTTTCCTTTYCCCCTCCGTCCGAATTTTTAGGTATTCAAACAAATAAAAGTAGAGAGGGAATAAAATTTAAACTTAGAACATCAAAATAKAAAGTGAAATGTGTAAAATTAATACTGAAATTTCAGAAATTCAAAGCCCAGAACAAAATAACATTTAAACCAACCTTATTTTATATGATAAAGAAATACACTCGCTGTACRTAAAAATTAATCGATATTGCAAATTTATAATTTCACCGTCTGGATCACTTTTAATTGTCTAGATTGTAAGAGCCATGAGATATTCTAACCTCAAGCTCACCAGGCATTTCTCCATAAAACTTAAGAGTAAAATAAAACAAAAGATACTTATTTATTTTCGATTGGATTTAAAAAAATATATTTAAATAGAAATATTTACAATTTTTTTTTGGTAAATTTCATTGGAATTTTTAATTTATTAAGTTAGATTGGATTAAATGATTACATTTTTATACATGACATTACTGTTTCATATTAAAATATTATATTATTATTAATATAATATCATACAAAAAGAAATTCTAAAATCCTGAAATAACAAAAATAATAATTAGATAAAATCATTTTGCTATTGGAGCATACTTGAAAACGCATAAAATAAGTTCCATTTTTCTAAAGGAGCACTAAAGATAATTACAACTAAAAACAAATCATTTAAAATCCCAGTATATGGGACGTATAACACAATTGTAATGCACTAGAGCTGTGCTCTGGTGCGGGAAGTACAACGGTCGTTGCTTACACTCGCAAGTTGATTGGAGGGGTCGGTACACGTCAGCATCAGGTGAGGTTGGTAAAAAGCTGAAAGGACCAAATTGTCCAACAACTCTAAGGTTGCTTGTTTGGTTGCCTGTCATGTTTCTATGTCACCGCACCATGAAGTCCTAACCATTCGCCAATCTGATAAGAACCAAAACATTGATTATTCACTAAAAAAATCCACGTCAGATTCACGACAATTTAGAATCGTTGAAATTTTCAAATGAAGACTTTATAATCTAAAATATCYAAACATCACGAAATTTAATAGAAACTACTGTTTTTTGCTAAAATAAAAGGGTATAATAATTCATATTTATCCAATAACTTGAACGTAATTCAATCAATTAGAGTATTATAACCTCTTTTAAAGATCGTTCATTTGAATCTTCGCTCTTTTTTTTTTTTATAACCTTCGAAAAAACAAGTCCTTGACTAGTTGAGCTAGGTTCGTGTTTGTAATTTTCACTTTAGGTTTAGAACTTAAAGAAAGTTGTAATTATATTTACGTATGTATGAATTTAATAGGAGGGATGTCTCACTCCCAGGGAATCAGAGTTTGTTTAAATAAAGTTCCCTTACGGGAATGCTATTAGAGCATCAAGGATATGTTAACCCAAAAACTTAAGCTGATGGATTGGGTAGATTACTGGATATCTCAACACTCCCCTCACTTGTTCACCCAATAAGTGGAAATTATTATAAAATGGAGGAGTTCGRACACGGAATCTCTTGCTCTGATGCTATGTTAAAAAATGAATAAACCATCACTCAACTCATAAGCTTAAACTAATGAGTTAGATAAATTTAATTCATATATGAATATATGTACAAGGATACTCGGGGAGGGTCCAAATACCTAGAATTACTTGATAGTTATCTTTTTTGTATTTATTTATCCGGTTCCTATCACTCCGTTGTGAAACCAATAGATTATGCCACTAATTTTGAAGCAAAGCATTACTCAATTCTGGGTTTGTAAACTGACCTGTTTCCATACAGATCCATTCTTCAACTTGCTGCTGCTCAAATTCAATTGAAAATTCTAACATTCTTCCATGGCTTCAATCAAATATCTCCTGGCTTTCAATAATGCTATGCTGACTGTAAAGCAGAAGTAGACAAATCAGTGGTGAAAAGATTCAGGTGATAAACAAATGACAACCATAAAATACACCACATAGATACACATATAGAAAGAGCCATACTGGTCGTCTTTCATAACTCGATAATATTTCTCCGCATGCTGCCTCTGACCAATTAGCTGAGCGAAACGCTCGTCGTGTGTAATTACTATGAGCTGAAAGTTCTCCTGCCCTTTCCTGTCCTCCATGATTCTGCAGAAAAACAAATGGAATGAGTAGTACCTAAAATATGTTTGGTCGCAAAGGCAGTTTCCATTTGCATTTTGGCTCAATTAGAGTTCTTTAAATTGGTTGGAACTTGAAATAAAAGCTGAATCAGAATAAATTAAAATGAATGCATAAATCTATAAATACCGCAGAAGAGCTGCAGCAAGACTTTCAGCATTTGGACCATCTAGGTTAGTGGTTGGCTCATCTAGAGCGAGTATTCCGCAGTTGAGGCAAAACGTCTCGGCCAATGCTAATCGAATTATAAGTGAAGCAAGAACCTGTAACTTCACTATTAGCACTAATTCTTCCAACCAAAAAGGGGCAAGGAATAAGCAAAAGAATAAAATTGGATCCCACCTTTTGACCAGCACTGCACCTTCCTCTCATTTCTAATTCAGCATCTCCAGTCTGCATGAGAACCTGAATAGTATACACTACTAATGTTGAGTATATGGTAAAAAAGAATACCGACAACTGCTAGAAATCTTGCAGACCTTGTAGCTGTATGAACGAGTTCCTGCACCCTCGGAATCTGAATGAATACTTATATAGTCTATATCCTGTCCCCTATATGTTTGTTGCCACAACTCCCTTATAATTTTATTTATTTCCTCCATTTTCATCGTGTGAAAGCGCATGAGTGCTCTGAAATAAAGTCACAAAATATAAATATAAACGGTGAAAATATCAGAACTCTAATTAATCTATCCATGAACCAAACTGCTGAATATTCATCTTTACTTAAAACTCAACATATAATGATTTATTGAATAATGGATTTGTAGAAATCATCAATAAACAGTGCATGTCGAGGATTTTCTATCACCAAAAAATTGCAAGTTACAGGCTTGAATGTCTTTTCCTCTTTCTCAAAATTCTGAATACAACTTCCATGCATTGCTGCAGCAGCGAGAGAACCAAAATTGGTAGGTCTAGGTGAGCTCAGAAAATATGAAGAATGATTTGAGTAGCAAGTTTAATAAGAGAGAAAATAGAATTATTTCATAACATTTCTAATAAGCACTAAAAACAGAGATTCTTTAATTTAAAACTGCATCGAACTCCAGGCTTGCTTAAAAAATGGTAACGAGGAATTGATCATCGGTAAAAGAATGGTAATGATGACACAGACAGTGAGGAATTTCTTGCCAATAAAAAAAACAATATTGATAGGTAGAAGAACTAATAAAAATTAGAAGTAATTTTAGAAGCTCACTTGTCAAGGGCATTGTAATATCTGTCCAGGTCCTTGTTTGCCATCTCAGTTGTCTGTCATAAAGTCTTAGGGTTATCAGTAAAACTAAATTAGAAAAGCACCACATATTTGCAGCTGAAAAAAAAAAATCAAACCTTAAGCTGGATTAGCTGATCAAAGTATCGCTTGTCAATGTCCTTATATTGGGCATGTTTCAAATCAATTTTATTTCTTGAAATATTGCTTTGATAGACAGACATTGTCCCATGACACCTGTTTAGCTGTTAAAAGATTTATACACAACCATTCAGGAAAAAGGAAACGATGGATGTCAAGTACTTCTATATAACTAATGAGTTGGAGAAAAAATCGTGATACTAAAAAAGGTCAAGCCACCAATAGAGAATAGTTTAAGAAATGCCAAAATCAATAAGGACGTTCACAATTCAAACTCAAATATCTTAACACTATCTTAAATAAATATCAATTATTTAACTGGAAATTTCATAAATGATGGTAGAACTCAACTCTACCCTATGTATTGACTTTCTAATTTATGGGAAAATGCACCCTATCTCTATCAAACCAAGATTGTACTTGCTCAAGAAAAGTTAACATCTCTAGCCCAAGCAAAATTAATGTCTGCTTTTCCTATAACTCAAAGTAGTTCAGTCTCATTCTCCATTCCCACAACTCATAAAGTACATGGCCTTGCCCTTTCACCCCCTTGCAAATTCTAGCTAGTCTCCACACTGATCAGTTCCAATATAATTATCCAATAAGCAAAAAATCCTGTGATTCCAAATATTAAA